GGCAGAAATTGAAGCAGAAAAGGGACAGGGGTGGGAACTTTCCCCCGGGCAGAAATTGAAGCAGAAAAGGGACAGGGGTGGGAACTTTCCCCCGGGCAGAAATTGAAGCAGAAAAAGGGGGCGAGGGTGGAAGCTTTCGCAGGCATTTGGAAAAAGTTTGGCCAAGGACAGAATCCGAGGTAAGTGATTCGGTAAGAAAAACTCTGAGCCAATATAGGAGAGAGGCCCAGCGTGAAACAAGTGAGAGGCTAAAGCCTGCTCCCTCGGTCTTTTCTGGTTCTCTACTACATACTCTCGAGCCTCTGCGCGGGGCGCTTCCCTTGATGACGGGTTGCGCACGAGTGAAAGCGTGACGCCTGTAGGGGCGTCTCGCCTTCATCCTCTTTATAATATCTGGCCGCCTACTTCTGTCGTTGCCTGGTCTCCCCTACTGCACGCTGAGGGCAATTCGGGCTCGATGCTCGCGCTTTGCATGCACTGCGAGGCACCAAGAGGGAGGCAAGACAGACACCTCTCCGATAGAGAGAGTGAGAGAATGAGAGAGAGGCCCAGCAGATGCATGCGCCGAACAAGGCTCGCACCGAGTGAAACAAGGGGAGAGACTCCGTTCCGTCGAGATAGAGCGCCCAGCCATTCCCCCGCCCGCTGGCCCTGCCCTTGTCTGTTCGTAGCTGCTCGCAGTTGTTAGCACCACAGGAACCACAGGAACCACAGGAACCACAGGAGCCACAGGAATCACAGGAGCCACAGGAACCGCAGGAACCACAGGAACCACCGGAACCACCGGAGCCACAGGCACCACACTTGGCCCCAGATCATCTCCACACTAGAAATTCTGTAAGGCCCAGGGGGTCCCATTCTCGACCTTAAGGGGGGGGCCTCCCGCCCTGAGCCCTGGAACATATATAAATATTGATACTCTGGCTCTTTTTGAACTGTACTAATTCCATGAGGTATATTAGTACGCTGCACATGGGGTTTGGAATGTAGTTTACTGCGCTCCAGATCCCCTTTCTTCAAGGTTCTTGTTGGCTATGAGCATAAAAGTAGTAGCTACTGGACTTGAAGGTGGTACGGCTGCAGTTGCGACGCCCCCTCCGTCTCCACCACTTGCCGAAAATTTTACCGATCCCTTCCTCTGAGGCTCGTGATCTATATCAACTGCAGTTGTACTAGTTCCATCTGTAGGACTAGGATCAGCAGCAACTCCTACAACTACGCTAGAACCTCCTGTACTCATAGCACTACTCGAAGAGGCTCCACCTGCACCAGTTACTTCGTAGGTCTTTCTTAGACGGCCTTACTGATAACCCATTCGGGCGGTAAGCCCCGCAAGTAGTTACAACGGGAGCGGCTTGAACTTGTCAAGTTCAAGCCGTTCCCGGTAGAACTACTTGAAATGAATATGAGATCAAAGTTCTTGCCTTAATTTTCCTTTGTTGTTCCTTGCAGGTAATGTTTTACTTCTGGGCGAGTCAGCCACCAAGGATCGACCTCGTCTCTCGTTGATGTTACCGGAAGACGCTGTGATTAGAACAACTAAAACATAGACTAATAGGTGACCTTTTTCGTCATCACGCAGACATAGAGGGTCTACTTACTTAGTTACATAAAGGGTCTACTCAGTTACATAAAGGGTGTAGTTAGTTACATAGAGACTCTACTTAGTTACATAAAGGGTCTACTTAGTTACATAGTGAGCCTACTCAGTTACATAAAAGGTCTCGTTCGCAGGCGCGGATCATACTCCCATAGACAGAGGATGGTCTCTTTTGGTCTACTTGGGAACTCGAACATACAGAATGCCCTTACTTTAGTTCTAAACACGCAGGCCCTCGTATGACATAAAATGCTGTGCGTCGCTCTGCTCATTGACATCCCTGAGGTTGGAGCAAACAGCTTGTTCTGACTCCCACTGCTAGATGCTGCAGGAAACCTCGATGGAACTGCTTTACTGGGAGCTGCCACCTTCGGCCTGTTCTTAGGCGCGCCGCCTCTCTTCACATACTTCGGTGCCATCCACAGGCCAAATTGGGAGGATTCATCACTATCACTATCTCCGTAGTCGGTAACCTGTAAAGCTTCTGGTGCTGTTACAGAACGTGTGAACGCTTGTGCGCTCTCGGTGGATCGGCACGAAGAAGGTTGAGGTTTTAGAAGACGATGTCATCCTAACTGGTCCTCTATAATCGTCCACACGCGTCCTCTATAATCGTCCACACATGTCTACTAAGTAGAAGTAGTACCTAGATTCTATAATCGTCCACACTTCTACAACCTAGTAGAAGTAGGGTAAGTAAGTACCTATATCGTTATTTTTCAGTATAGTATACTATATCATGATCTATCATAACTGTGCACTTATCCCAGAGACCTTATGATCCACACGCGCCGTGATGTGCTTGCTGTAAAAACCAACATGTCCTTTAGAAGACGAGCCTTGAGTCATCGTCCTTGGGGATGCTGGCTCTGTTTGGTAGGGTCAAGATTCGATGAAAGACTATTTAATTTTTCGTTCAGTCCTTCTGTGGTGTATCTCAGACTCAGAAGTGTGTTGTGCAATACAAATACTGTGGAAAATCGCTGAAGTATCTGATCCTGTACTTGTCCAACATTATGAGGGTAAGGAGCCCCGTACTTGAACAACATCTTCATGAGGGTAAGAACAAGTAGAGTACCTGAAGTATCTGCCGTAGCCGTGCTTGTCCATGAGAGCTGCTGTAGTGTAGACTGGCCCTTAAAGCGTTCCCCAGATAGGTTCAACGGTGGCACCGATCCTCCTGTATTCGCAGCGGCCACGCGTATTGCAGCGGCTGTACGAGCAGGACTGAGGCTGAACAACAATGTGAAGGTGAACGCTGTGGTCTTGTTTTGTACCTTCTTCATTTTCCTGGTCTAGTACGTAGAACAAACAACAAGAAGTTGGAATTAGACTATCTGTTTCTGTTACATAGATTTCGTTGTAATATATTCTTCTTTCTTCAGTTATCTCGGCACCTCTTCTTCAGTTTTAGTTCCTTGCCTATTTCAGCTTGTCGAGTTGTACAAGGGATAAGCACCTTGAAGAGGGATGATCATCATCGTCATTATCATCACCACCTCAGAGTGAGATCAATTGGAAGCGCCTCCTCTAATTATGGCCGATCCCGATGCGCCAGTACTTCCTGTCAGAGGCTTATCTCCTTCATCCAAGGCTCGTTAGTATATAAACTCGGAATTAGACTATCTGTTTCTGTTACATAGATTTCGTTGTAATATATTGGATCACCAAACTGTATACACGATGCGTTTCGCTTTCGCAACAATAGGGGTGCTTACACTAGTAGGACAGGATCGGATAGGATAGGACAGGATCCTCGGATGCCTCGGCTTCGCCAGGGACTACACACGCACTCCACACATTTGCGAAGAGAATGGATCGTGGTCACGAGTCGTCAACTAGGAGTGCACTAGGAGTCGCCCACTAGGAGTCGTTCACTCCATTCGGCTCATTCAGTTTGGGTCTCCCTGTATGTCGCCCTGGTCCTCAGTCCAGCTTTTTTTTTTTGCGTTAGGACTATATGCCACCGCCCTTTCAATCAATCAATTAACCTATATAAGACCCAAGTTACATACTGGGGGCGCATAAGACCGCACAATCGGCCACAAGTCTACATCTATCGGAGAAGCCGCGCACTCGACTCCTGCAGAAAGCCTAAGACGCTCTCCTCGGGGAGGAATTAGCTAGGTGTCTGCCGCTGTTTGGTAGAGTTAGCCTGCGGTCTGCACTGCCGCAAGTCGAACTCGGATCCGCGTCAGTCAAACAAGCAAAAGCATACGCTACTACGAAGCCAGAAGAGTCTTGTCTACCGCATTAAGGCTTGACCTAAATTCAATAAATCGTAAAACCCAAACAGCATCGCTGAGCATTACTTAGCCACACCACCAGCGGAACATAGAAAGAGAAGAAGAGGCAGGGAGCCACTAGTTACAGCGCATACTGGCCTGACTGCGTGACGGACGGTTCCCCCCTATGTTCTGTTTTTTGTGGGTGGTCGGCGTTCCATTTGAACCGAGGGCCAGAACACGAAGCGACAACAAATAGAGGCAGCGGCTGCGACAGTCACCACTTAGACTGACGGACTGGCCACACCGTCGAAGCGACGCGCAATTAGCCATCCGCAACTGTTTTAGTCTTCTAGCTAAGTCCTTACGGGGTTCCTCTCTTTTCTCCCTGCTCTTCCTCGCATTGCGGGTGGCTTTTCCCGCTTCTCTACTGGGCCGCTGCTCGCGCTCTTACGGGTGAGAGAGGCGGCCGATGCAAGCGAGGCGCAAATCTGAACTACAAAAAGACCCCTCGATCTCCTGCGACAGACCGCGACCCCCGCTAGACCTTCCGCTTCTCCCTTTTTTTCTGCGCTTGCGTCCTTGCTACTAACTACTATCCTACTCGCTCAGCGAGCCGACAGAGATAGACGACCACGACCAGCAGGGGGCTGGAAGCTTTCCGAAGCGACTCGAATGTCTTGAAGTCAGAAGACCCGTAATGCCAGGAGGAACAGCATAGGTCGCAATGTGATAAGACACTCGCTGGCCGTCGCGGACAACCAGACGCCCATCCACGCGATCACGTGCCCAACGACTTCCGCGTCCCAAACCTCGCGCATGAGAAGCTCCGACTTGCTCACCCGCCGCCACACCTACGCTACTGACGCCGAGGTCTTAGGCCTTTGTCGGTTCAGAGACAGAGCTCTTAACACGCAGGCGCAATATGCTTACTACCTACTCCCCCCGTCCTTTCTTACCTTACGCTGGTGACGCGCCCGCGCCACGGCCACTACGGTTCCGACCACGCAGAGCAGCTCCAGCCTCCGCGCAAAGATGAAGGCCATGCTCGTCAAAACACAAAAGAAAACTACGACAGCGGACTTGGCTATTGGTCGAGCTTTTTGTGGAACTATAACGAGAACTCCTTGTCCGTGTTCCACACAAAATTAATTGGGCTGCCGCCCTCAAAAAAACTGCTTTTCTGTCTGTATTACGCCTCTGCGTTACTTATTTATGCCTGCGCGTTTCCTTTGTTGAGGTATCACGCTATGGATTGAGCGAAAATAGTACTTGAGTGGCCTTCTGTCCGGTAAATTCTGGCTGAGATGCAAAAATAAGTTACATAAGGAGGAAGGGTAGCACGTGATGAATATCGTAAGTCGTTTCCAAAAATGCGACTAAAACAAAAAAAGTATCTGATTATAATTAAATAACCTCCTCCCTTAACAGGCTGCTTGTGTACAAATTTCCCCCTTATGTTGAGGCGTGCTGCAAATCTAGACTGGCTTCTTCCCTTTATATAGGGTCGAGGTTTAGGTCCAGCGGCGCTCGTCAAAGCACTAAATAAAACAACCGGCTCGCTTTTGCCTCTAACGTGTAGCCCCTTCAAACTATAACGAGAACTCCTGCCCAGTCTACATTAGCAGGAGCCCTCTTAATTACGACGGGGCCAACCTGTTTCCACTCAAGCGCCCAGGCCTCTCGTTCAAGTCATGCGGAAATTCTAGGCGCGTCCTACTCATACCAATTACTTAGGTTAGCCCGTCAGCCGTTAATCATGCCGCTTTGCTCTCTTGGAGCAAGAAGTAAAAAACGAGGCTGAAGAAGATCCGTGCCTCTCTCACTGAACTTCCAAAAACATCAGCTCCGACTTGTTGGAAGCAACCTATAGTACGAATGAAAATGATCACTCTCACGCGTCTTGCTCATGTCCGTACTCAAAGCGTCTTGCTCATGTAGATAGAAAGATCAACCTACTACAAGAATTATAGCCAAAAATGATCTCTGGCATTCTTCATCATTTTTGCGGTGCCCCCTATAGTGGGCAAATAGATCATCATCGAGAAATTTGCAAGAAAATTTCACTGATCAACGCGAACCAGCACTAGACCCCACCCAAGAAGTCACCCCATTTCGCAAAAATTCTGATTTTATCTCCTAAAATTGAAACTCATTTCCTGACGAAGAGATAGCAAATGGATTGTCGCCAAATGTTCAAAAAGTTGAAAACTGAAGGCAAATGACAACAAATTGGCCTTAGGCTAGTGCGTGAGATCGATATTGGAGCTAGACTCTACAAAGTCGCACCTTCTATGTCAATCTTAGGCCTGACAACGAACAACTTGGCCTACAGTTACGACTTAAGATCGATGGAGCTAAACCCTAGAAAAGGCCACCTTCTACGCCAATCCTAGGTCTAACGTCCAACAATTTGGCCTCCAGTTACTACTTAAGGTCGATACTGTGGCTAAACTCTAGAAAGACTCGCCTTCTATGCACATCTTAGGTCTAACATCCAACGACTTGGCCTCCAGTTACTACTTAAGATCGACATTGGAGCTAAACTCTAGAAGAACTCACCTTCTATGCCAATCTTCGGCCCATTATCCAACAGCTTGGCCTTCAGTTACTACTTGAGATCGATACTGGAGCTAAACTCTAGAAGAATTCGCCTTCTATGCACATCTTAGGTCTAACATCCAACAACTTGCCTTCCGGTTACTACCTAAGGTCGATATTGGTGCTAAACTCTAGAAAAACTCGCCTTCTATGCTAATCTTAGGCCTAACATTCAACAACATGGCCTCCAAGTACTAGCTAAGATCGATATTAGTGCTAAAGTCTAGAAAGACGCACGACCTATGCCAATCTTAGGTCTAACATCCAACAACTTGGCCTCCAGTTACTACCAAAGATCGACATTGGAGCTAAACTCTAGAAAGACTCACCTTCTATGCCAAATCTTAGGCCTAACATTCAACGACGGACTTAGCCTCAGATCACTAGCTAAGATTGATACTGGATCTAAAGTCTTGAAAAAGTGGCGCTGTGTCCTCCTTGTAGGCCTAACATTCAAAGACTTAGCCCCCAGCTACTCCCTAAGATTGATATTGGTGCTAAAGTCTAGAAAAGTCCACACATTGCCACAATCTTAGACCTAACATTCAACAACTCGACCGCAAAAACACTACCTAAGATCGATTTTGTTGCTTCGAAATTGAAATTGACCAACTCAAGTCAATATCCAAGAAAGTTAGTTTTTATCGCCCAACAATTGAATTCGTTTCCTATCGCGAGCTTTTCCATCAAGAAGGTTCTGGCATCTTGACCGCTGGCCATCATCCCCAAGATTGCTTGCCTAAATGCACTAGATTCTCGCTCTGCAGATGACTACTAAGCGACTAACTGCACTAGATTTCCACGCTGCAGCTGACTACAAACTAGTATACTGCTCGCGCGTGTTCCCCTGTTGCCACTGCAACTGGTACTGATAACTACTCCATCTGGGACAAGGTAATTAACAACATCAAGCGCAGACGAGAGTAACTATACCTATGATCCTTCCCAGCTACCGGTCCGCCGTGCAGCGAGAAGCCTTCACTTTTTTCGCTCTGCAAAATCACGAAAGGCTGGCGGTCCATGCGGAATCCCTTCCCAGGCAAAGCCTCGTAACATGCAACCAACTGCGGATGCGTCAAAATTTGACGGAGCGCTTTCTCGTGTAATATCTCACCAAGGTCGCCTCTAGAGTGTTGCGCTGCTGCGGAGTCGCCAGCATAAGCTGGGTCCTTAGGTGCGTTTTTCAGCTTGGGACCTTCTCGATATCTGACTTTCCCCGGCTCAAGCTTCCACGCATCTATTATACTGCTCATCTCCTTCAGCAGCTCCGGTTCTATTGCTTGTCGTAGGATGAGAAATCCGCTCAAGTCAAAAAGGATGCGGTCCTCTTGACTAAACACCCGAGGCGGGCGAGAAGAGGACGAGGATGCCGTTGCCATTTTTCTACTCGCGCGAAGGGTCGCTATGGACAAAATGGAAGCGCTCTCGTAGTTGTTGGCGTTTTTAGAGTGGTAGTACTTGTCGACGTTACTAGGATTGTATCTCCTGCTCAATGCTGTGTAAAAACGACTCGACGTGGTCCTGTAGTGTGGAAATGGAGGCCTAGCACGTACTGAACTACTTGTAGCAACGACTCCTAAACAAGTCCTCATACTTGAAGGACATAGCTATGTACCGCCTTGAGCCAAAATGGCACTGCGTAAATGTGAACAACAACAATCAATGTCAGCCCTACAATAACAAAAAAGGGGCTAGGATAGGATAGGATAGGATAGGGGGTGACTCGCTGTCCACAGGATGGGCTATCGTCCTCTCTCACGTCACTCTAATCTCGCTTGCCCTCTTTCGTTCTGCCAACATTCACGCCTTCTATTTGTAACATTAACACATTAACTCTGTCTTCAATAGAAGGTCTGTGTCTTTCTTACCGTAAACGCCCTTCCATTCCGGAAACTAATTCACGTTTCATCACATTGAAATAGAGGTGATTCATCACAGATCGATGACCGAAAGGAAAATCATACATAATGCTACTGATCATCCACCTGTCGCTAGAGAATGCCAATGCGAGGGCTAGGTGAAAACACACGACCATGCGGATCTCCTAGAAGAAGTCCTGACCTGTTTCTGAAATGAGATTTCAATTTCTATGATCCAACTCAAGAAACACCACAATTCAAACTTTGGTTAGTTGTAACATCTCGTGGTCGAGCGGAAATGTTTCTCTGTACCACGTTGCTAGCTAGTAGTTAGGACTGAAAAGATAAACAAAGAAATAATAGCCACGACTTCGAACTGAGTGATTGATTAGAGGTAGGTTTTTGCTGTTCGTTTATCCCGCTTGTTATGGCTGTCCCCCTTAGGAGAGCCATAACAGACGGTAACAAAAGCACCTTTAGCCTACCCTTAAATTGAACTAAACTAATAATCATGGAAGGACATCATGATCACGATGTGACACGTTACCTTGGAAAAATCTTACGAAGATTCTCATCACGAATCACAAACTATAACTGCTTGAGTCATAAACCGTAACAAACTGCTTCGATCATAAACTGTAAGTACTCGTTGAATAGTTGTACACGCACCTTGAGAATCAGATGAATACGAGGAACAAGAATCAAGACAAATAGGATCATACAGACTAGATGAACGTGTACTCTTCGTCCGCTGCATGGGTAGATTAGTATTTTACCTGTTCAGGCGTGAAACGCCTACGTCTAGATTTAACAACATTTTTTACTTGTTCAGGCGTGAAACGTCTACTAGATTTTGATTTAATTTCAACAACATTCGATATTGTACGCCGGCTGTGTTTATGTACCTACTCGTCATTGAGTAAATGCACTAATTAATACTAGAGTAGTTTATAGAACGGATGTAGGATGGACTTGGATGGATCGGATGGATCGGATGGACCCCCCTGATTCTTCCGGTCCTACTTGAAATGGTGGGAAGTCCATCCGTTCCATCCGATCCATCCGATCCATCCCATCCCGGATCTGGCACCCCTATAAACTGCTCTATAATACTAATTTCTTGTGCTTACGATTTCCCGATCAGATGGTACAGCTCCTCCATTTTTTCCATCATCTTTGCCTGCTCCTAAGTGATCTAAGTCTATCTGTAAGTGTAATTTCTTTTCATCTACTTCTCGATACGTACCAGGTCGATTACGGCGGGAATACAATACCTGAAGCGACCCGGACCCACTATATCAACAACATAGATATTAAGTACATCACTGACACTACATCAAAGATCAGGTTCGTCAGTGCTGTCAGCCGTCTCTTCTGTGCCGCGATAGGCATGGGTTCCGCGCTGTCGAAGGGTCTGCATCCCACCTTCAGCCCTCTCCGACATCATGTCGTCTTCAGTATCCTGAGAAGTAGACATGTTGTCTTCAGGATAATAGAGGTATGGCGTCTGTCCTTGGGTAGATCCAGTATCACTTCTCTCAAGAACATCTGCAGTTTCACTAGAAGCATTAGTACTAGAGATGAGGTTCGAGAGAAACTCCTGAAGTCCTGACACCCGCCCCTCGTCTGAGGAGCCATCTGCTGCGTCGTTGTGGTCAGGTTGTTCTTGTTCGTTGTCTTGCTCTTTACTACTAACAGCATAGTCTCCACTAACACTTCTAGAGCCTTGTCCCCCAGTGGCCACCTCGCCTCCTTGTTCAGTATGACTGTTTTCTTCTCCACTGTCGAAGTCCTCGTTCGCGTTAACATATGTTGCGTGACCCTCCGCGGCCTTTTTTTTTGGATGCGCTTCGTTTTTCACAGGTTTCTTGTTGGTTCTTTTAGCGCAAAGAAATAAATACGATGAGATTGAGAAGTCTAGATTTTTGCGATCAAGTATACGCAAACGTAGCCACGATCATCTTGTTGGCCACACTGTACTGCGTCGCAAGATATTCAAGAATATGATCAAGCTAAATAAAAAACCAACAACGACCCCACCAAGCTCTCACGCTTCCACTTCTGAGCACCAAGCTTTCACGCTCCTACCTCCGAGCCCCTAGCCCTCACTCCTCCACCTCCGGCCCCCAAAGTCACACTCTTCCACTCCCGACCTCCAAACGCCTCGCGCTTCCACTTCAAGGCCCCAAACTCTCACTCCCCCAACTTCGAGTTCCGAGCCCCACACTTTCACTCCTCCACCCCCATCCCAAAAGCCCTCACTCTTCCACTTCCCTCGTCCCCTTTTTCTGCTCCACTTTCTGCCCGACAAGAGGGCCCCGCCTTTGTCCCTTTTTTCTGCTTCACTTTCTGCCCAGGGGAAAGCCTCCACCTTCGTCCCCTTTTTCTGCTTCGCCAGTAGTTGTAGCCGTAAGCCCAACAACATCAGAAACGACGTGTTTCCCAGTATTTGTAGCTGTAGGTTCAACATCAGAATCCTCATGGGATCTAGACTCCGTATCGCAAGATCGTATCGAATCTTTGTCCTCGAGCTCACGACCAGCATCCTCCCCTTTTTTAGTCATGGCATCACAGGGCTGGGCTGCGTTAGGGGTTGAAAGTTGACCGATCTAACTCGCATATCTAAGCCATTGTCCCTTGAAAAGGTCATAGATATGCTCTTAGAAGATAGGGCAACTTCCAACCCTTAATAACTGCAGATGCTGCTCTATTCCTTGGTGATCTGGCCATGCTTCCCCTACCTCTTTTGTTCCTGGGGATCGATGTCATCTTAGTACTAGAAACTGAAGAGTTATAGGTAGTAAAGGAGTACTAGGTAACAGTTGCAAAAAAGTTCCACAGGTAAGTTGCTTTTAGGTTAGAAAGAGCCATAGGTCATGTCAGGGCACCACTTTTATAGCATTTCCTGGGCCGAGCGGTAAGAAACTCTTACGTGTAGCAAACTCTTCGTGACCCTCTTACTAAGAGTTCTGTGCTTCTTTGTGTGGTTAAAACTGTTCATCTTTATTAGTTACTCCTAGAACTACGTACTGCACCAAGAAGCCTCCTCACAAGAAAGCAAAAAGAGGCTTCTTGGAAACGGAATTTATTTTTGTAGAGAAGTGAATATAAGCAGCCCTAGTGCTAGAAGTGACAAAATTTGTCAGACAGGTGTAGGGAATCCTTCCTAACCGTATTACAACTGACATTCTCTTTTTACAAATAGCGCTAAGACAAAACCGCGGAAGACCATAAAACGCTGCATCTTCTCAAGCCAAATAGGGATACTTCGATAGACTACTAAACAAAAAAAAAGAGGATGATCTAGAGAGACATCAATAGACGAAGGATCATAAGAGGAGGATCAGCTTTCGAGGCTGACGATCTTCGCGGGGACCTAGTATTGATAACGGAAGGTCTAGGTTCCGAACCACGTCGCAGAAAACAACAGCAGCAAGAAATGAACCAGCAGAGTTAGAAGACGAAGATAGCAAAAATTAGAAGACGACGAAATTGAGATAGAGAGAAGGTGATAAGACTGATTGAGATCGCAGGGAAAATTAGAACACGATAAAAAGGCAGAGAGGGTAGAGAAGATGATAGAGAGAAAATAAAGAAGGTAAAGAAGGTAGAGAGCATGATAAAGAGAAAATAGGTAAAGTAGATAAGTAGCTTGTGAGCATTTTCGCCTTGCCAGAAGGTAAGAATGTGCCACCCCCACCGCCTTTGACAGATAGAGAGTAGCAGTGGTTTCTCTGTGATTCTCTACTAGTTTGTGTTAAAGCTGTCGTAGCAGACAAAGCTGAGGAGGATACACCCCACTACGCAACAGATTGCAACGCCAACGCATCCCAAGGCTTGAATTAGAAGAAAAATTCATCTTAATCGAGAAGAAAAATGCGAGTACTACGCATAGAAGTGCCATGTTTTGCATAAAAACAGACTCTAATACCAATCAAGTCGAGCAACCGCGCAAATGTATATTATAGGACGAAATCCAGGACAAAATGACATATAGCCATAACAAGACAAAATCCAAGACCTCCGAAAATAGGCCCTCGGCTTCACTAGCTGCAGCGCCCCCAGCCCCCTCGCCCTCCTTATTCGAGTCGGCTTCTATTCATCTTGGCCAAGAACTCATCTCAGCCCCCTTTCCCTTGTCTATCATGAAAATCCAGCAGGGCAAAAGTGCGCCAAGAGGCTGAGGCGGATGGATAAAAGCCGACCCGCATAACCTTAGCAGCATCACCCGCGCCCGCCTTTTGTTCGGTAGGAGCCTCGCCAGCGTCCGCCTTTTGTTTGGCGGTAGCTCCCCCAGCGTCCGCCTTTTGTTCGGTAGCAGCCTCACCAGCGTCCGCCATTTCTTCGGCATTCTCGTCCTTTGCGGTGTCCTCGTCGGCTTCAGTAGCAGCTGCCTGCTCGTCGCGTTCGGCCCGCAGTTCCTTATAATTAGAGCTAAGTAAAAGCATGATGTGAACGGCCTTAGACTGATAAGCAAAAAACGCAACCTAGCTGCATCACGGAGTAACCAACATCTTGCTGTACCTGTAGTTGGGCTCACTTTCATATAATGAGAAAAATGAGTGGACTCGACCCCCCCGTAGGAGGCAACTATTTATTAGTTGTAGACATACCTTCTTTTATATTTATATAAAACTGCGAAGGCTAAGTCTAAGATGGATCGGAGCTGCAAATGAATAATCGCGAGCCTTAACCTTACTTGCGGCGCCCCCAGCCTCGGATTTCGTCGTTGTCTTCCCCTCGGATCCCGCGCCGGCACTTGAAGCACCGCCGCCACCGTTGTCAGCGGCTTTGGCTGCATCAGGTGAGTCGCCCTTTGCAGCAGTCGTTTCCTCAGCAGCCTCTTTTTGCTCGGTTTCGTTAAAGGTTGCAGCAAGATTACTAAATACATTCTTGAAGATGGCTATCTTCCTTGGACCATTCTTACCATTATTTTTCCACTTGAAAAATCTAAAGGCCAGAGATTCACTTAGCGGAGGTCATGCAGGATGTAAAAATAAAATGGAAGGGCTTTTTCCTTAATTTTAGCACCTCCATCTGCAAGTGTCTCCTCAGCAGCGTCTTGTTCGTAGTTTTTTCCACTAGCCAGCTGCTGCTCATGTTCGGCTTGTGCAGCTTGCCCAGTAGCGGCGCCTGACTCAGTCCCGGTGCTGGCCTCCTTCTCAGTCTGGCCCCCAGCCTTATTTCCGTCCTCGGCCTCGGTGGGTTTTTCTGTGGCTGCTGCGGTCGCTTTAGCGGCTTTTGCGGCCTCGGCCTGTTCCGCGGCTTCTGCGGCCGTTTCAATGGCGCCCTCATTGCCCTCGTTTCCAGTGCCAATAGTCTTTCCATCCTCCGCTTTTGCATCTTCAGCCGGGGCTATGCCCTTCTCACGAGCAGTTTCAGCCGCGGCCGTGTCCTTCGCATTGTTTTTCTCCTTCTCAGCAGAGCCTTCCTTTGCACCGTTGGCAGCAGAGTCTACTTCCTTTGCAGCTTCCGATTCGCTTTTGGCCTGGGTGTCGTCCGGTTTCGCTGCATTCTTGCTCCCCCTTCGGTTCCCAGAAGCCTGCTCTTTATTCGTGAAAGAATGCTGCTTTTTCCATCCCGTCTAAACGCAGAGGACCATCGATCCTGGCAGTTTTTGTTCTCCCCTTGAAATAAAAAAATCTGAGTGCTGGTGCCAGGATCCTGGTCCGTCGCAAGTAGGAGCGGGAGAAAAAACATCACCCATACTTTCATTCACTTTCACATCTTCGCCTGCTTTTGCCTCTCCTCCTGCTCCTTTTGCCGTCACTTGAGTCTCTTCTTCTGCTTTTGCCACTCCTTCGGCCCCTTTTGCCGGAGGAGTTTGGTCTGCTTTTCGTTCCTTATCAGACGTTGGAGCTACAGCATCCATCTCACGTTCAGTAACTGGGAAACAAAAATTCCATCATTGTTGCTCACGCAAATTCGAATTCCGTTTTTCCATTCCAGCATTGATCCATTCTATGAATCTGCTGGAATGGGAAAATCCATTCTGTGACTCGCCTTGAAATGATCTCTCATAATTTTTCCGCCAATAATTGCGTTCTTTCTTCCTGCAGAAATGTAGTAGCGCTGCCTGCTCGCTCGTTGCGGACGCGGTCTGCAACGATTAGAGCAGGGGTCAACAGCTATATTTTCACACCCCTCGAAGATACTTACTACAATCACGTTAATTGTACTTGTGGAGGTGGCACACCTAAGTTGTAACCAGAAATAGAAAAAACTACAAAAACCAGAAAAAGATAATCGTTGTCAGTCAAGTGCCCTTACTACTACCAGGTTTTGAAGATTGTCCTCGCTGACCAGACTGAGGTTCTGGGTATATCTTGACATTGACTGAGTGAGTGAATGAATGTACCCACTCCAGGGGTAAAAAAGACAACTACTGACTACTTCCTTCTACATCGCGCCCCATCAGACTTCTGTTAAAGATGTTGACTGTGTAGCCCTCTCCGACAGTTGTAGATTTGTGGCAGTTCTAAGGAAAAAAAAGCCTTAGGTGCCGTGACCTCAGGAAGCGGCTACCGCGCAGCGCCATCGTTTATTTATTAGAAACAAGTATTCTATTCGATAAATTGATGATCTTCTACAGCATGATAGTGCTCCTGCACCAGTAACTATCTGCTTCGTTCTCACGGTCTTGCTTCAGTAGTTCTGCTTCCGGGAGGACTAAGTCTGTTTCTGTCTCTTCACGAAGACGAACAAATGGCTTTTGTGAAGACACTGTAGTACTAGACCAGTGAAGTAGCTACTATTCAAGACCACTATTTCAGTAGAGGCAGCCTCCATATCTTTTTTCCCCGACTTTGATCGGGGCTCCTCCGGGTCGGCTATAACGTCATCCGAATCATACTCAGGGTCTGTGTCTGCCCTCCTGTGAGAGGCTCGCAAATAACGCGTGGTTTTTCTGGCCTCTACTTGTTAGAAGAGATATTTTTGGCTATAGTAAAGTTCTCCTAGTTCTTCTGGTCCGGTACTCGTCCTCGGAGTCGGACCTGGACCTGTTGGATGATCCAAAAAAAAAGTATGAGAGACAGGAAGCGAAGTAGAAGACTGCTAAGTAGGGGTAGTCCGTCTAGTTGATGTTGGCAAGCTCTCCTTGCAGGGGACTCCACTTGTTCTCTTTGTGCTGCACCACTTCACTTCTCCTTGTAGAGTTTATTTTAGCACGTTGACGTTGGCAAGCTCTTCTACTGAGCTTCAACATTCAATGGGAGCCGGAGACAACAGTGGCGCTACAGAGCTGCAGCAAAAGCGAGCTCTTATAATAGCGGACCAGCACTACATTAGTGGACGAAGCAGTGGACACCTATTACAAAGAACGCGGTACACGTGACAAGTCTATGCAGCCCATGTAACAAAGAAATAACAATAAATTTGCACAACTGCTGCCACCTTCAAAGTGACGAGGGCGCTGCCACCTTCAAAGTGACGAGGGCGAGGGGAGGAGTGCGCTCAGTCTACAATCAACATTGGCTGACTCTGTCTTGCAGCCGAAGAAAATGATGTAGAAGAAATAATTTTGTAATGAAAAACCCACTCAGCATTAGCATATCTTCAAGCAATACTTGGTGAGCTAGCACCCATAAGCAAGGCCAACTATGCCGTTCCGATCTCATTGCGAGCACCTACCTCTCTCCTCTTCTCCGGTAGGGCCTTATGTGGCTGAAGTCAGGAATTCTTACTAGGAGCGCTCTAATTATAATCAATTAACCAAGCCCTTCATTAGTAACTTAGTTATGAAGCTACTCTTAGCAATTAGTTGACCTTTTTACCTTCTTAGACTATAGTATACTTCAACATCATACCAATACACCTCCAATCAAAATATAGGACAACTCCACACACACACAAACCAAAAATGACGTCCAGACGCATTCTGCAGCACTGTCCTGTTTTCGGGGTTGTTTCGTCTCATGTGGAACTTTTTGACTATCTAAGGTTTACCCGCTTATTACACCGGTGGACGGGGAAGACGCTTCATATACATAGATTGAAGATATTCTTGCATGAAAAACTACGACGACCCTTAAGAGACTTGCGAAGCTTCACTAGGACTCGGCTCGTTCGGCTCATCTTCTCCGTTGGGTTTCCGCAGACGCCGAGACACAACCAAAGGAACGAACGCCGCAAATGAAAAATGTATCATCATGTTGTCCTCATCCTTACTTCTCGATCTCCTTCTAAGGAGAGATATGTTTACATGGAAGCTCCTCTCGACACAACCAACTGCTGAAGCAACTTTCTTATAGTCAAGCCGCGTTTCTAGTTAGTGGCAAATCCTTATTAGACGAGGACTTCACTCACGTGGCCTAATCTTCGCAGAAATGATCTGTCTCAATCTGACTGATGGTCAACAACATAGGAAGGCGAGTCTTGAGTCAAGAAACTTCGAAGAGGACCTTAGGATTAGAATTATAGGATTCGACCCCCCATCCACAGTTTTACCTGCATCCTCAAGCGGATACGCGTAGCCACAGAAGGACTACCAGTACTTAACAAGTATTTCAATTACATTTCTGTCTGATCTAATTCCTTATCATTGTACTACTTCCTGCTCTTAGCAAGAGTGCAGCTCCCTTTGAACAAAGAGAGACGCGCCTCATCTTCTTGTTGTGAAGCGCATTCACCTTCATCCCTCGCTCTGTAAGATCCGTGGCGTCCTCCATCTTGCTCCTACTTCTAGATTTTTTCAGATTTCATTCTGGGACCTACTCATTGTTCTCAAACAAAATATAAACTCATGTTCTTAGTTCTAGTGAGAAAGACAGTGATTATCGTGGTCTTGATGCGTAGTAAGAGAAATTCTCGTCCAAAGATATAATTAGTTCCATTCCGAGACGACCGAAGATATTAGTTCTGCTAGGTGTAATGGTAAGTCTCTTTCTTTCCCTGTTTCTCTCTTCCTACTGACTTTCCGCTTTATGATGAGATATTTAGGATTAGGATTAGGATGTGATCCGCCGTCCGCAGGGTTTAGCTGCATTCTCAAGCGGATTAACGCAGTCTCTGAGGGACTACCAAAAACCTTGCGTCACATGGCAAGGGTTGATCCTCGGGCTTTAATTCCACTTTAAGATGATGCACTCTGAGGTCGCTTTTTGGTAACTCTTGAAGCGTCTGAATATTCATAGCACTTATCCATTCCAGAAATTAGGCTCAGACCACTTCTACAAAAAACACGAATTTCGGTACAACGAGCTCAGGGTGACACTGATGAATATCCCTGACAACGCTGATGCTCACTATTGTTGATTCTTGCTATTGATACTCGCTTCTGATGCTCACTATTGTTGATTCTTGCTATTGACAGTGGCTACCGTCTATTGAAAAACAACGCCAGTCAAAGAAGTAACAAACATACAATCTGTTGGGGTCAAAAAAGACACTGATTTATGACGCCAAAATTTTGAATTTCAAGATTGAGAAAGCTAAGCCTCCTACACAGAAAAATAAGCCTTAGACACAGAAAAAGAACAACAGACTCATAAATAATGATTAAAAGATCTTCCGCAGATGTAAGAGTAGGATGGATCCCGCGCTCGTCCGCACATCGACAACAGATTCATATAATTAAATCGGATTTAATTTCATCCTCCTTACCCCCTGTTCCCCTAACGGCTACTTTTTTCAGCAAGTAGAGCAGAGGACTTCTGGTGCTTTAGTATTTGCATTTTCCTCATGATCCAGCCTTATATCCATATCTTAGCCACTTCATACCATAGTTGATTTGTGGTTGTTACTTGATTTCCCAACACGTGTTTCATTAGAAGTCCCGATTTCTAGTTGTAGTTTCCTTCCAATGGACTTAGCGGTTACTTAGTTGATTTGTGACTGTGGCTCAGGTTTCATCTTCATGGACTTTCAGCTTTTGCTCGTTAGTCGGAGTCGATTTCTAGTTTCATCATCCAATTCCAGTTACTTGTTACGTACTTGATATAAATATCTAAGTTTCATCTAAGTCTAATAATTGGTCCCGTACATCATACTAAGTTGTAAAAATTGTGTTCCTAATATTCCATCCAAATCTAATCCACCTTTAATTGATTTCTAGTTTCATCTAAGTAATGCTACACCTAGATCCACCAAAACCCCCCGATAAAACTATATCCAGCAAAACAACTACGACAGCTATGCGTCGCCATCCTCGTCCGCGTCTGCGTGTTAGAGTGGACATCAGGTGTGCATTTGATACACACAACGCCCTCCACAAGTTAGCTTTTGACAATTGACATGCAAGCAGTTACTTCAACGAGCAACAGCGTGAGTTACAAGTGACATTCTGATGACGGTGCCAGATGTTGAACGTCGATTAATATAATTAATAGGCTCGTCACCAGAGAGGAACACTTCCAAAACCAAGTATTCGAAAAACTGAAATATCCGAGTAAAGTACAACTATCCTCGAATTTACTCGCTGATTCTAAGATTTCGAATAGTTACACAACAGCTTGCCATAAACCGCACTGCCACGGTGTCGCAGGGTGGTCACACTAGAATCTGCAGACCCGTCCTCGTATTCAGACTTGTTGTCGTCGTCCGACTGGTCGTCGTTTTCAGAGTCGGATCTGTTTTCCGGATAATAGAAGAAAGAGCCTCCAGTCTCTCCTCGTTGGGTTAGAGTAAAAATGATGAGTGATTTGAAACTCTCACGATAGAGTAGATGCGACTATTCTTCATTATAGAGTAGATTGCGAGTGAGATACGATCCTACATAGGTAGCCGTAAAGAGGGGTAGTGCGAGTACTTTCTTAGAGTGCCACTTAAGGCACAGATCCACTTAAGGCACAGACAGACTCAGACAGTATCAGTACCTTCCTAGATTTCTATATATTTTTCTATGTCAGAATTGAACAGGGTGCTAACAAGTGAACAAAATAGAAAGGTCGTACTTTTAGGATGCATAGAATAGTACTAGAAACTCCTCGGCCTATGCAGTACTGTATATGTTAGCCACTCAAAACAACCAACTAGATCGACAAAACAACCAACCAGTACTGTATATGTTGGCCTATAAGAACCACTACAAAACAACCAACTACGACTACCTCCTGTTCTTGAGGCCGTAAAGAAGGACTTTCTGTTACACTAGCTTCGGCGGTTTGCTGTTGTCCAGTTGTCGGCTCTCCAGTTGTTGCTTGCTGCATTCCCCCATTTGAATCCTGTTGCGCAGTGGACTCACCGGCTTCTTTTAAAGCTCAGCCTTCAATGGTCACTGACTCTGAACGGAAGGGACCCCCTTCAAAGCTCTCCCCTTTCCCTTCGTTTTCCCCCCATCTTTCCGCAAGGGGTCGCCTCTTCGATCTGAGTGACCAACCCCAATGACCATTGAAAGCTGAGCCTTAATTCTTGTCCGTGTCCGGCACAATCGAGAAGCCCAGTTTCTTCATCTCCCGATGAGTGTGAGCCCCCTGGTGAATCTTCTGAATAATCAACGTTAGCGGGTGCTGGATTGCATCGCGGTCCCCTCATCTTGACCCCTTTATTCATTCACTCATTCATTCATTCATTTGAACCACGTAGCAGTTACAAGTAACTGCCTGGTTCCCTTGTTTGCTTTCATAGGAATAATACAAGGGAAAAGGGTACCGAGATGCCGAAGCCGAGATGCGAGATGGAGACTAAATGTTGACCTTAACAGCAGAAGAATTAGTGGCCTCCCCTTCATCTTCGTGCCCCTCGTGCTCATCTATAGGGTAGCTCAAGTCGTCCTCGCCCTCCTCTTCATCATCACCAGGCAACCCAGATCCCTCACCAAAGGCGGACTCCCCTTCTTTCGCTTTTGTCTTTGCCTTGGGTTTTTGTTTAGCGGTAACTTTGGTACACTTCCACTCTTGTTCTTGTGTGGACGTGTACTTTGTCAGTTCTGTCTGTTTGATGCCAGAATGAAATACAAGAAATGGCACCAAAAAAGTGGCGAACAGCATCTTCGGTTATCCGGAGTTACCGAAACCAAAGAGCTACCTGGAAGACACGTTGGGTGTGCCGTTTGACAAGCAGAAGGGACGAAACATCACCATGCCAAGTAACGCTGGAACTGGTATGAAGGCATCTTTCAGTACTAGTAGTCTTCGTTTTTCTTGCCGTTGATGATCATGAAGTGTAAAAGTACACGTCCACACAAGTTAGTTGCTACTTTGGTACAGTGGACAAGAACTTTTACCCACCTTCGTCTTTTTCTGCGCCCGTCTTTTTCCACCAAGTTAAATATGGATGATACGATATGGAAGAATCATGAAGGAAGAACTACGAGGGGAAAACCAAATCCGGTTGCCTTTCTTTATCTGCTGTAGTTCGATGATTTGATTTAGATCTACCAGAACTATCCTTTACGCCAGAGATGTAGAAGTATTTATTAGTATCTCTAATATTCTTTGAAACAACGAACTCAGTGCTTGAATCTGAACTACTTGAGTATTAGCGTCCTTAATTACTGATTTCCTTTTTCCAGATGCTTTTGCTGCTGCCTTTGTTGCCGGTTTTCCTGATTTCCTTGCCTTTGTTGTCGGTTTTCGAGATTTCCTGGCACCCGTCTGTCCCTCATCTTTATTGCGTCCCGCCTTTCTTTAGCGCTCAGACTATATAATGTGAAGCAATGCTGGCTGGTAAATAGATGATTCTTGTTCGTCCTAATATATATTTGAATAAGCCCAACTAGTAACCGCAACCCCTGCAGCAAAAAAAAAATCATATCCGCACATGGTTGTCTTCAATGGGACTTCGGAGTATTCTGGGAGGGGACAACGCTCTTATTATTCTGGAAGACTGCTCTACTATACTTGTAGCAGCTACAAACCCGATACAGCACTGGCATAGACCTATACTCGTAGCACCGAGTCGTGCTGGACAACTAAAAAGAGATTTAAAATCATGATGTTGGTACAACTCTCCGACCTGTGGACTGTGGCTGTGGAGGTGAGTCAGTGGCTGTGGACTGTGGCAGGTAAGCGTGAGATAAGGGGCCATCGCCATGATCTTTGTAATAATCTTGTGATCCTTAGAAAGTTAAAAATCTGATCTTTGTAATAAATACTTATCACAAGAACTATAAATATTCATATTGAGGAGCCTTAATGTTTTTGCGAAACTCGTGTTCCTCTCTTAGCCCCACCTGGGGCTTCGAATGCTGATGGGG